ATTTGTTCATTTATTTGTTGTCATTCTTTCCTTTTCAAGTTTGCGCACAAATCAAGTCAGGCATACAAGCCGTTTTTGGGCCATTTGACGCTGCATTTGGCTCACATATCCACTCTATTTGCGATGCTCTTGATATACCACATTTGGAAACGCGAATTAATGCCGATATTGCAAATACAGAATTTTCTATAAACTTACATCCAGCGCAGAGTTACTTAAATACAGCTTTCGAGGATGTCATTCGCTACTTAAATTGGACCAGAGCGGGAATACTTTTTGAAAAAGATTACGGTATGTTGGTATGAAGTTTATTATTATTAATTAGCCTATGTCCTAGATATGTAAATACCTCCCGATTCGACCACGCTATGGTGAATTCGTCTGGGAGAACTCGAAAAAGTATCAAAAATCAATGCAATATTTGTGACACGTCAAACTTGTATTGTAAAGCAGGGATCACGCGATTTGAACATTTGTGCAGATTTGTACATCTTGGTAGTCATAGAGTGCTGTTGTCTAGAAATTTATATCGAGAATGAGTTCAGCTCAATAAAAACACGCCACTATGTAACTGTCAAAATGTAAAATCTGTATAAATGTGCAAATGGTGCAATCCCTGATTTAAATACTAAAATTACATGGGCTCGTGAACTGCTTCCCATTTTTTTCCTTCATTCTAACTATAAAGTTTGAAATTTTGAGGGGAAAAAATTAATTTAATTAAAAAATAAATAAATAGTTAAATCTCGTCGAAATATATCGTCGTTTAAAGTACAAAACCGCGTATCAACATAATGCAAAACCGGGTATCAAGATAATGTAAAACCGCGTATGTGAGGTTGCATAAATTATTTTCTGGAGAGTAAAAGCACTCATATTTCAAAATGGTTCTCTTTTTTATAAAGCAATCGCATTTCTGGCTAGTATATTTCAGGACGAATGGATCAGGATTGAGCCAGGAGCTTGTGGGAGCAAATCAAATTTTTGGCAGCAAATGTCAGTTACGCGGTTTTGCAGAATGACGATATGCGGTTTTGTACTTTAAACGACGATATATTTATATTGCAGTACATAATTATACCCGAGCGCACTTTTGCATTATATTATATTAACATAGTTTACATACCGGTTGTTTGTAACAGCCATAACGAATCGAGATAGATATAGACAAATGTATACATAAATGCTCAGAATGAATGGAGAAGTCGATTAAGCCATGTCTGTCTGTCCGTCCGTCCGTGTACTCGAGCAAAAATTGAGATATCTCAACGAAATTTGGTGTGTAGGTTTCCATTTAACCAAGGTAGGTTGGTATTGACAATGGGCGAAATCGGACTGTAACCACGCCCACTTCCCATATAACGGACATTTTCAGAAATACGAAAACTGCGATATTTTAGTATCTACTGAAGATTATTCCCTCAAAATTGATATTTACAATAAATTTTAGACGAAAAATAAGAATATTGTAAATTTTTGGAAAATGGGCGTAGCCACGCCCACTTATGTTACATGTGTATATCTTGATAACCGCTGCACCAGTTTCTTCCAAACTTGGCACGGTTGTGGGCCTTGGTGGAGCATACCAAATGGCCGAAAATAGTTAAAATCGGACAACAACCACGCCCACATTCCATGAGATAACGGTTTGGTTATTGCGCTTGCCACATAAAAGCAAAACGTTGAAAATTATTGAAATCGGACTAAAATTACGGCCGCTTTTCATATAACGGTAAATTTCAGAAATGCTTGAAACTTCAATATTTCGAAATTTAGGGACGCTAATTTACTCAAAATTGATACACCCCGGCTTACCATGTAGCAGTAGCTTTCGGAAAGGTGAAAAACATATATTTAATACTTTCGCCGGGTATTTAATGATCGGCTCCGCCCGAACTTAGACTTTCTCACTTGTTTTAGTTTATAGTTTGTAAATGTATGTTGAATATTATCTTAATTTTTTCAAATAATATATTGAAAAAATATTCAGCTAGTAAGAAAAGAAAAACATTAATTATATATAATTATATTTAACGAGTATTAACAAACTAGCGAATTCTGAAAAATCAATTAAGCAGATTCATAGTAAAATATCCAAATAACCCAAATCAAAAAGAAATTTTTATAAAAATTCATATTTGCAGTCATAGACCGACCTTAAGGAAACGTACTCATAGTACGTGCCCACTTTTTGCAATTTTTAGCCCCTCTCCCCCCTCGGTGACCCCGCGTAGTATATTCCCAGACCCCGCCTCCCCTACAGTTTTCATGTAGTAAATCATAAATATGGTTTTGAATCATTTCTAGAAGGAATTATAAACTGGCAGGAATGGACTTAAAAATAAATATTTTTTTTTTAATTATGGGCGTGGAAAATATCGATAAAAAGTCAAGTTGGGTCAACAAAACTCCGTTATAAGTTCAACATTTCTTGCTCTAGTTACAAAAATGAGGTACCATTGGAAAGTTAATGAATCAAGCTTTCCCTATTCAAAAGCGAAAATACATAAATTTTTTTCAGTCGAGATAAAATGCAAATGAATTACATCGAAGAAAATAAAATTCCTAGTAGGCCTGAAAAAAGAAAATTTCATCAAAACCAGCATTTTCCAGCAGCTAAAATTGTGTTGTTTAAAGTCTAAGAGGAGTGCCAAATAAACTGAGATACAAACTTTACCGAATAATCGCGGATAACGAGTTTGCCGGTCTAATGAAATTAGTAAATTGCTAAAATTAAATTTAAGGTAACATCGTTTTACTTCATTATTCATTAAAAATAACATACCTAAAAAATAAGACCTAAATGGTATTTTCGCAACTATTGCATAAATCACATAACACCGACAAATTAAACATTGAGATTCAGTTTCAAATATACAAGTTTAGATGTTATGGCGCTCGGTAATTTTCCAAATCAAACCCCGTCCCGCCCTACACTTTGATTTCAATTTTGCAGTTGTTATTGCTTCGTCTTTATCAGGCATTTCTAAAAACATTTTTGACGTTGTTTTGAAATTTGGCGACATAAAACTATTTAATTAATATTTTCTAGAATATGGAAATAATACACTGTGCAGCGGGGAAAAAAAGGTTGATGTGGACAAATAAATTTTGAGAGCCCAAAAATGTGAACCAATTTCAAGTTTCTTTTTTTTAATAAAAAATTATTCGTAAACATTTTTCCATAGGACACATTTAATTAAAAAATCTACTTATATTTGTTATCCTTACTAATATATATTTTGGAAGCCATTTTTTTTCTGTTTGAAAACCTCGAGAACAGCTGTACCGCCATTTTTGAAATTTTGGACATCGAATGTAGACTCTCCAAGGATGATAATAGAAGAAAAATAATTTCAATATAGCAAGGGACGTGGCACCTCACATTCAAACTTAAGTTTTCACACAACATATCTCTGGAAGTATTCATCGTAGAGTGCTGCAACTTACTACAGAGATATATAATATCAACGCCAAACTCCCGGAAAAAATGGCAGTTGTTGAAAAACTCCCCGCACCGCCCACAAAAACTGAATTTCTCATATTAGTATGGTGTGAGAAATTCAGTTTGTATGAGAGGTGCCACGCCTCCTTTTTCAATAACTCCCATTTTTTCCATGAGTTTTTCGTTGATATTATATACATATCTCTGTACTAAATAAGTTGCAGCACTGTACGATGAATACTTCCAGAGATATGTCGTGTGAAAACTTCAGTTTGTATGGGAGGTGCCATGCCCCCTTGATATATCGAAATTGCTTTTCATCTATTATCATGCTTCGATAGTCTGGAGTCAATGTCAACAATTTCCAAAATATCGGTATGGCTGTTTTCGAGTTTTGCGAACAGAAAAAAACTTTCAAAGTATATATTAGTATAGATAACAAATGAAATACATTTTGTAATTAAATGTGTCCTATGGAAAAATGTTTATGAATAATTATTTAAATAATCGCAGACATTTTAAATTGATGTCAAGCATTTTCCAAAAAAAATGGATGCATTCAAACGTATTTTTTTTTTTTAATTTTTCAACAAACAAAATAAAAAAAACAGATTTTTTTAGAAAAATCGCCATGGGTAGATCGACGCAAAATTTAATTATCTTTTATCTAAAAAAAAGAAACTTCAAATCGGTTAATATTTGGGCTTTCAAATTTGATTTGTCCACATCAACCTTTTTTGCCCCACTGTGCGGCGCTTGCTGCGTGACAGCAAGAGAGCATGCATACCTGTAATCATGAACCAAAAATACAAGATCACGCCCTCTTCTTAGTAGCCCGTTATAATCGCATTTAGGAAAAAAGTTGGGCGACTTTGTCATTAGCCGTTTATTTACATTTGTTCGTTGTTTACAATTTGGTGGTGGCTTTTTACTGCAATTTTCTTAATTTTCGCTTGTGACAACGTGTGCACACATAAGGCAAAGAATAATTTAACACAACGACATGATTTATAGCAGAATTTGCATAACAAAAATGATTATTCATGCGTTCAACAATTACGCGTTTTTTTTTTGTTCTCTTCGTTGTTTACTTCTTCCAACAAAGATGGCGTCGAGATTTCAACAGCCAGAAAATAACTTTTTTCTTTCTTTCGGGAAGGCTTGATCTTGTGTCTTTCGTTCATGCCTGCAATTACAAGTGGAAAAAATATTATCAAGATAAAACTTATGCAGTGGCGGATTTACTGTAAAGGCAACATAGGCAGGTGCCTAGGGCGGAAAAAATTAAGGGCGCAAAATTTGAGTTGAAAACAATATTTTTTTTTTTATTAGCTGCACTGAAAGTAGAATTTCTGTTTGTACATTTTAAGACATACATTTGAGATTCATTTGCGCAATCCGGAAATAGGATAACACTCTTAGGTATTTTTGATATTATTTAAATGACAATATTTAAAAAAACTAATTTAGTCAAGGGAAAAAATTGGCTTTCTTTAAAAGTCAAAAACCTTTCCCATGTCAAAACCACTTTTTCATCTTAAAATGTAATACAAGTATAGTAAATAACATAAATTTTAATATCACTATTTACTGCTAATCGTTCCAAAACTGGTACTCTTACCTCTTATCGGTAAAAGGGCAGGCAAATTCTGAATTACCTAGGGGTGACAAATATTCAAATCAAAATATATCGTAACCAGAACTTAATTTATAGAAATAAAAAACCTGTTATTTTTAGTAACATTTACTTTCCATCTCAATCATCTTCAACAAACACATTCCAAGCTCGGATACATCGCATATCGCGGGGGCGGTAACATCGGGATTTGCTCAGACGTGATTATTATCTCTTCATTGACA